TATTTGATGTTAAAATATTTTTACATTATCTTATATATTTAATAATATTAAAAACCGATCAATCCGATCGAACTACACCGATCCGATTTAAATTGAATTGATTTGGTTATCACATAATAATAGATTAAATTGATTTAAAAATTTTATTAACCGATTAAATTAAATTAATTTAAAAAATAATAAAATTCAAATCAAATCACACCATGAATACCCTATTAAATACTGCAGCAATGTACTAGTTGTTTGATATCCGCACAGCCACAACCCTGTATTATAATTAAAATTTTACGAATTATTATTAAATAGCGGTTTCCTTTTTCTGTGATATTTATTTAATAAGTTTTTCTAACTTATATCATGTTCACATATTTTCTTTTATAAATATAGATAGACAAATGTAATTGTGCTTTATTTATTTTAAAATAATTATTTTTTATTTATTCATATTATTATTCAAAAAGTTAAAAAATAAAGTAAAATTTTTTTATAATTAAATAAATAATTAAAATAAATAAATAGTAATAAAGTTAAATTAAAGAAATATTTATTTATTAAAAATTAAAAAAAATAATTTGAAACAATTTCAAAATCAAATGTCGATGATTATTATGGGATGAAATGAGTAATATTTGTAAGTAAATGAATTTAATTGAAAGCTTATAAATTAGAAGTCAATTTTTTCTTTTTAATACAAATTCATATTTCTAATAAAATAATATATATTTATTACATTTTAAACGGCATATGTTAAAAGAATTTTTATTTAATTGGCAAACTTGTGGTTCCTTTGGTCTCTACCTTGTTTTCTCGTTTTTCTGTTGCACGACTCCGTCCGTTCCACTTTATTTTAAGGTTTGTTTGTGGAGTGCTTTACATAATAAGTTTTTAGATTGTACCGCAACTATAAAATCAATTTATTATAAATAATTAATTATAAATATTTAATATATTTCCATAAAAAAATAAATATTTAATATATTTTTAATGATTTTAATTAATATTGTATATATTTTTGTCATAAAAAATTTTAAAATATTGTCACAGCCTAACACTCTTAAACAAAACTTTACTTTATGTTTGGGTAGGGAAATGGAGGAGAGAAAAATTTTCCCCCACCATTCTGCTTCATTCAGTTTCCTTACTTTTCCCTCATTTGGAGAAATAACTAAATTAAAAGAAAAAAAAAAAATGAATGAAAAATTTCTCTTCGCTCCCCTCCCCCCTATTCCTCTAAATTCAAATATATTAACTGTTTCACTTTGTAACTTTACACATGTTTAGACACTTTAAGGGTTAGTTAAAGCTTCATAATTGGTGCTAAAATGACACATTTATTTTTAATGAGTCTTATCATCTTTATAAATATTTCCTTTATCCAAAAATAACTATTCTTATTTGATTTTGAGTTTATCTTAAATTAATTGTCATTTTTTCATTTTTTTAGGATAGACAAATTTTTTTTTATTTTAATCTTATTATTATCTATTTATTTTGATTAATTATCCTATCACAATAATCTTACT